GGGTAAGGAGTTATCTGCAAAACCATATCAAATCCAGTGGCAAAACTTCTCACCCTCAGCGTGATCTTTCACGTGCGAAAAGTGTCTCTGTCCACGGCAGAACAAGATGACAGTCAACTCAAATTGAAAAACCTGCAAGTAACCCAATCTGTCCGTCTGTGTGAGAAAGGCAGATTTTGTTGGGAACTGCCTTGAAATGGGAAAGATCAAGAGGGAAGGGCTGGTCTACATCGTCTACGATAAGCCTAGGCAATCAAACTCATTCGTTCTTAGTGCACCAAAACTGGACGGGGACTATCCTTTCGACGAAATTTATCACATTTGAGAGCTCATTTCCTGGACTCCATTTACGGGAGGGGGTCCTTCATGGGGAGCCATCCTTGGAGAGACTCTGACATTTGCTTCCTATGGCCCATTGCTAGGCGAACTCTAGCCTGGCGGAGGGTGCACTTTATTTGCAGACTTTGCAAGAGTTTTTTCTGCCCGCCCATCCCCTCTTCCATTGGCTCGCTCCCTTACCAATGCCCATGAGCAATTTGCTCGGAAGGAAAGTAACAAAAATAAAGGAAAAGGACGTTGCAGAATGATTGCGGGATAATGCGGGACTGAGAAGAGAAAAAAGAGGTTCCAAGAAGCTAGTAGCTGATTTTATGATTCCTGCCCTTTGAATGGCGGAGCTCCGTGCAGAACTGCTTGAGCTTGGTGCTGCTACTGATTTTCACAAGATCATGCGAAGTATTGGTAGAGAATCCCGCCCTATTCCTTGCATATCTTTCATTACTTGATCATTATTTATTTATTCATTTCATGTCAGGCAGAAGTGGAATAGTTGCAAGGGCCACCAATTACCAGGTGCACTGTGAAGGAACAGGTCTCGGATTGGCTCCAACCCAAGCATACCAAACTCATTATCATTTCGAGCCAGCTTAGTTGCCAGCAGCAGGTTTGTCAAAGAGGCAACAGCACTGAATTCTACATAGAAGTCCCCGCAAATTATTGTATAGCCAAAATCCCAAACTAAAAATGTTGCAAATCAGAATCTGAGTGGGAGGCATGGCGCATCCCCACAAAGGGGATGATCAACGACGAAAGATTTCCTGTCTTTGCTTGCATCTTCCGGACCTGACAAAACATTCCACAGGCCAAGTGCCAACATCATTCACTGAACAAAAGGATCGTTATGAGGGACGGCTTCTGAGCGATTCTGGGCACGGGACTCGGCTGCGGTATGCCTGGAACCACCGTGCACTCAAGCTTTTTTGGGATAGGTTGTTGAAACGTAGGCTAGCTCTTATAAGTCACTGTTACCATTTTTCGAATGTCCACTAAAATGTACCCACTGCACTGAATAGAAGTGAGATGCATGGCGCGTTCTGTGCAAGGCGCATCTCGTTCAGGTAGGTCGCCATTATGAACCTTCGAATTTTTCCTCGCCTGTCTCCAGCACCACCTATTTCCCTGAAAATGGGTTCAGTCCTGCAATACGTATTCCATGTCATTTCCCAGTGAGCCTCGCAGCACCCCCTTCTCTAGGAGACTCGATTACAATCCCACTAGTTGAGATCTGCTTTCCATACTAGGAAAAATCCGTTTTCACTTGAGATTAATTTTTGCTCATTTTCTGGAAAGTCATTCCGCTGATTAACTAAGAAGCCGCTAGAAGTAGGATGAAGATAAAAAGTTCAGCTTTTTCACCTCAGATGGCAT